GTACACATGCACAGGGCACATGCACAGCCACGGGCACAGGCTCTGTCACATGTACACGCACATGAATATGCACATAACGGTACATGTGACCTGTCTCAGTGCCGCTGCCAGCGTCGCAGCCAGCGTCGCTGTTGCCGACGCCGATGCCGATGCCGACGCCGATGCCGATGCCGACGTCGTGGCCAACGCAGCCGCGTGCTTTCAACTTTACAACAACAAGAAAGGCAAAACAAAAACAAATGCAAGGCGAATAAGAAAAAGAAAACAGAACATATTCACGTTGCAAATTTTGATTATTTGTTGATGTTCGGCGCAACTTTATGGCCCACGCAAACAGCAGACGCGCAGCTGCAGCAACAGCAGCAGCGGCAGCAACAGCAGCAGCAACAGCAGCAGCAACAGCAGCAGCAGCAGCAGCAGCAGCATTAAAGGAAGCACGCGTGAGCGAGAGAGCAAGATAGCGACATCTCTGTCTCTCGACCGGGCTCAGATTGAGAGCTGGGAGAGCTGCAAGCTGCGGCAGCAGAGCTTATTATTGTCAAAGCTCTTCTGTTGTTTGTTTACCTGCGTTCAATTCTTTTCTTTTTACCTCCTGGTCAAACTTAAGTGTCATTTGGTGGGGAAGCGAGCACAAGTGATAACAGATAATAAAACACATTGAGCAGCGCGGCGCGATAAAAAAGGAAAATAAAATAAATAATAATCAGCATAATAAATAAGTCATTGTAACTTGTTGAATTTCTATCAAGTGTGCTATCAAGCAGCAAGTGCGTAAAAGCCGAACAACTAATTAAAGTGCATACAGTATTACAGTAGTGGATCGAAAAATCGTAACACCTCGATAATGTTGTCCAAAATGTACGGTATATTTGCTTAAAATTAATACTTATATTATTTATATGCCAATTAGTCGGGAATTTTGTGTGTTTCCTTTGCATTAACTCGACAAAATAATAGTCATACAAATGAATATTAAAGGGAAATACAATACAAATTCTTAATTATTTTGCAATTTTCGAATATCTCTATATATACACATAGTTAGATACAGTAAATACTTAGATATCTGAATTATTTTGCAGCTTTTAGCATCTCAATTAAATTTAAATCATGGGAAAATGGCAAAGATCTAGGCTGCCACAATATATACACATAGTTCGATTCAGTTTTCCGATTATCCGATTAGAATTTCAAAAAAATATTATTGCTGAGTAAATAGTATATCGAATATTTGTTTAAGAACACTTCATTTTAAACTATACGAGGGGTTTTCAAACTTAGTTAGCATAATTATGCATACATATTCTCAAGAAGTATATATTTTTTATCAAATAAAATAAAAACGTTAGTCCATATAAAATAGAGCGCAAATTTTGAATTGTGAGCAATGGAAATAGAAAGTACTATCAAATATAAAAAGTTTACAATTCGTTTGCAAACTTCGGTGTACTCAATTTGCGAGAGCCCACTGTATACATAAGAGGCAATTCGGAAATGTAAATGGGATGTATCAGTTTCTTTCTCAATGCCTGACCTATATTCAAAGTCAACAATTATTGTTCCTTTTTTTTGTTCTTATTGTAGTGAGCTTTAATTTTTCAAACTAAAATGATGACAATTTGACAATTTCATTGTTAATACCCGTTAAAAATGGGTATAAGGGTATTTTGTATTTGTGTAAAATCCAAATGCATGTAACAGGCAGAAGGAAGCATCTCTGACCCCATAAAGTATATATATTCTTGATCAGCATCAATAGCCAAGTCGATCTAGCCATGTCCGTCCGTCCGTCCGTATGTATGAACGCAAGGATCTTAGAACATATTAGATGTAGGTGCTCCTAGTGCCTGCGCAGATCGAGTTTGTTTCCGATAATCGATAACTTACTCCTTTTCCAAGTAATCGATAAAAATCGTTATCGATATCATTTTTTTTTGGACAATTTTTGGTAAATAATAAGAGCTAGAGTCACCAAACTTGACATATAGCTTTTAAAATAGAATATATATATATATGCATTTGGTGTTGGAAGAGAGAGAGAGGGTTCAGGGTATTCCCTAGTCGAGAGCTCCCGACTAGAACCTCTTACTTGTTTTACTTAAAACTAAAAATAAAGTAGGTCAAGATGCGGCAAAATGTTGTCTATCAACTAAATAAATTATTATGTGAAATAATTTCAGCTTAAACTTGAAATTATCTAGTATCTAGTAGCTAGGACCTGTTGGAGGCGCTTCGGAACGAAATCTAGCAAGTTTTGGAGTTGCTTTAATGAAATTCTTTTGCCTTGTGTTGTGATTGTTTCGTGTCAGGTCCAGGTCCTGCTCCTGGTCAGAACTGCGGTCCTATTTCGCATTTCCTATTTCTGGACAATCTAGGGTTTCGACCCCAAAAAATCTCCCAAAAATGAGGCAATCATTTTCGCCTGGGGGCATGAAGCCGTGTTCTGATTTTTTGGTTTATAGCTTCTGGTTCATTGAACAGCATTAGAAGAAACGGATCCCCCCCCCCCCCCAGATCCCCAACCCCCTTGTTTAATCGCAGACAAGTCGAAACTTTCGATTTCATTCTGTTTCGAATGTTTCGGACATTTATTGATTTGATAATAAATAGTTGGAAGCGGACATATCCAAGTTATAAGTTTAATATTAAAATCAAGGATTTATCGAATAATAGAAAAGATTTTCCGGAACTTCTTTAATTTAACTGTTAACTCGCCGAAAGAAAAAAAAAACAACGAAATTTGATTACAATATTCTTAAAGCAATGATAATATAGATTACATTTTCGCTTAATGACTATAACTAGTTTAGTTAATTGCTAGATGGAACTAACTAAAAATTACGAAAGTAAAAGCAAAAGTAAATAGACAGCAAAAGAACTGAATATTTCAATTATTTATAGTTGGTTTTTTTCGTATATCAAATTCTTATGCAATCAATAATAATTGCGCAAATTTACTAATTTTCGCTTTCTCTCTCTCTCTCTCTGTCTCTCTCTTTGCAGGTAAGACACTTAAGCGAACCTGGGCATAAAAGAAACTCGAAACATATTCAAAGGAGCAGAGCTTGCAAATTGCCAACTGTTTGACAGTGTGACTATGTGGGGGGAGGGGGGGTGTGTTGCGCGAGGTTCCGTTCTCTCTCTCTATATGTGTGTGTGTGTGTGTGTGTGTGTGTATTGCTGTAGGTCGATATGATTGATGAGAAATGGCAGGCAGCAGGCAACAGCAGGAGGCGTCGGGGCAGCGACGTCGACGTCGACGTCGTCGTTTGATTTTAAAGCTGAATGAGCCAGACAGCCGCCGCCGTCGCCGCCGCCTGACAGGCAGCCCCTGGGGGGGCGGGGCGGCAGCGCAGCTTTAAAGTGCTGTTTCGCATGGTTCATTCTTTAAAAATAGCTATTGCTGAAGTTTGGCAACGTTGCTGCGCACCTTTTGCATGCCGTTGCCGTGCTCGGCATGGCTATGCATATGTGTGCATGTGCGTGTGTGTGTGTGTGTGTGTGTCATTATTATTTAATGAATTAATAAACGAGCTGTGTGCGGGTGTCTGCTTTTCATATGCATACCCGCCCTCGCGCCCAGCTGTCCGCTTAAACCGTTTCTCGATATGTGTGACGTCGTTATTGGCATGCCGCAGTCGGTCGCAACGGCCGTAGGTCAGACGCGTCTCACGTTAATCATATCTCAAACGTAGCGTCAAACGCGTTGCAGCGCTGTCGACGCGCTGTCGTTTAAAAATTTAAATAATGAACGGTGACGCCAGGGTGGATTATGGCATGGCAGCGGCCGACGTCGAGCGTTGTTTTGACGCTGTCTGACATGTTCGCTGCGAACATGTTGTCGTAGCATGCTGTATGTTGGCGTTCGTTGTGCACATGTTGTACGAGCAAGTCTAATAGCGCTATGCTGCTGCTTTATCGCACTCACTCACTCACTCACTCACTCACACAGGCACGCGCGCCACGAATACGAGCAGCACAGCAATACGCTTGCTATCTTGCTCATTTTTGTCGTTTCGTTCGCTTGTGCGCGCTCGCTCACATCCACATCCACACCCACACCGCGTGCAACATGTGTGAAGAGGTTGGCCGGCCGGCCGGGTTTGTGTCCTCAATAAAAATATAACATTAAGGCGCATCACTAAATCAAAGCCCATTTAATTTTGTGCAGCTTCTTGCAAATTGCGATCGCGCTGCATTCGCGCCCTCATTCGATTAGCTTTGATTAAGCTAAGCGATCACATTCGGGTCAAGCCCATTTACCCACTTGTCGCCGCCATCGCCAACTGGCCATAATATGCGCCTACTGTGCATACACCTAATGCTAATTTTTGCATCTAGCATGCAATAAAGATACATCAATTGACTAAATCCAGCCAAATTGGGGCACAGAAATGTGTGCATGTATCTTCATATGCAAATATATTATTTACATATATATATATATATATGCATATTATTTAAATTATGCTGATTGTTCAGTTGTGCTAGATTTTAAGGTGGTTAACGCGTAGCCTAGCGCAGACGATACTATCGAGTGAACTATCGACACTTAAAGCACAATTCTTTTAGGTTCACAAATGCGTAACTAACTAATTTAAATTAACCATTTTTCTAGTCAATTATTAATTTGTTTGATTGTTGACGTGATTTTGTCTTTAAACTCGCTTTATCGATATATATCGTTCAGTATCGAGGTGTTTTATGCGTTGAGTTTTTCTAATGCTGCTGCAAATACAGTTGCATTTTTGTCTCTTACATTTTTTCGTATTAGCTTTGAAATCGAAACGTTTCACTTTGCGATCGATAACTGCTCATCGATATATATCGATTAAGTGTGCGTCAAGATGTGTGGATGTCAGAGCTGTTACGCATCGATATATATCGATCAATAGGTTGAACAGGGGATATTAAGGTGTTTCAAAAGATCAACATGAATTGCATTGAATGTAGATAGATCGTAACTAATAACTCTCTCAATCCTCTCGCTCCCCCTGCAGGCCTTACCGTACCATGGATCAGCAGCAGTATGTTAAGATGGGGCACGCCCATCAGCAGCAGCAGCAGCAGCAACAGCAGCAGCAGCAGCAGCAAATGCATCACCATCACCACCATCAGCAGCAGCAGCAGCAGCAGCAGCAGCAACAGCAGCAGCAGCAGCAGCAGCAGCAATCCTCGCGCTCTGCAGCTAGTCCGCTGTCGCCGCCACGTCCCGGACCGGGCAGCGCGGCGGCAGCTGCGGCTGCGAATAGCTATGCCAAGTTTGCGGATGCTCCGCAACACTTTATACAATCGCCGGCGTACAGCATTGGAATCGCACCGGTGGCCAGCTATCGGGAGAACCATTATATGCGGATACCTCAGGCCTCGGTGCCGGAATTTCAACGTGCCGGACGTGCCGCAACTGTGGCCTCCGGTGCCGTTGGCGGTGGTTGCAAGACCGGACCGGGTGGTGGCGCCTCATCTGTCGCCGGTCCCGGTGCCGGCGGTGTTCTCCAAGTGGCCGGCAACATGCCGCCGCCGGGCGCCCAGCCGGGCAGCGTGCTCGTCATGGAGGCCATGTCGCATTACCCAACGTTGCAGTACAACAACGAATACCTGACCAATGCCGCAGCTGTGGCAGCTGTCAATCAGCGACAACAGCAGCAGCAGCAGCAGCAAGTGCAGCAGCAAGTGCAGCAGCAAGTGCAGCAGCAGCATCATCAGGCGCTGTCTGATCCGCCAGGCAGCATGGGTCAGCCCTACAAGAAGCAGCGCTTGAGTGAGCCCAATGCCAGCAGCATGAATCACCTGCCACACCAGCAGCAGCAGCAGCAGCAACAACAACAACAACAGCAGCAGCAGCAGCAGCAGCGCTCGTCGCCCGCTCAGCAGCACAACAGCCGGCAGAGCAACCATGGCGCCATGTTGCATATGTCCGCTGCCGCGGCAGCTGCCTCAGGGCTGACACCGCTGGCCATGCAGCAGCTCAAGGTGGAAACGCTGCCCCAACAGCAGCAGCAGCAACAGCAGCAGCAGCAGCAGCAGCAGCAGCAGCAGCAGCAGCATGCTCATGCACCACGTGGCATTTTGCCGCCGCCAATTGTCTCAACAGCCCAGTTGATCAGCGTCTCCACGGCGCCCATGATTAGCGGCGGCAGCGGCAGCAGCATCATCAGCAGCAGCAGCCTCGGCGGCAACATGAGCAGCGGCCTCAGCTGCGGCATGGGCAGCAGTCAAGCTGCAATGGCAGCAGCAGCAGCCGCTGCAGCGGCGGCAGCTGGCAGCAGCTCCGAGGCATACCATCCACAGGTAAAGAGTTTATTTGGCAATGACATTAGCTTAAAGTTGGCGCAGAAGTTGGCAAAAAAAAAAAAAACAGTAGAAGAGAGTTTATAGTAAAACTAAAAGCTTTTAACAGCTTTAATGTGCTTTCTAAAAAGCTCAGATATTAGCAAGAGTATGGAATATAAAGCTATATAGAGAATATATAGCTAGCAGGCTCAGCTTAAATGTGAAGAAGACTCTTAGTACAGCAAACTTAAAGCTTATGCCAAAAATAAGTATTTTGAAAACTTTTTGCAGCTTAAATGTGCTTTCTAAAAAGCTCAGATATCATAGAAAGTGTTCAGTTTAGTTTAGGGTTGATAAAGCTGTAAGCTTTTGATTAAAATATTCAATATTATTAATATATTCAAATGCTCAAGAAAACTATTGAAATTAAAAGCTTGAGAGAAATATATAGCTAGTAGGTTCGGCCACTTTGTGAAAGGAGTCTTTCCAGCTCTATAGTAAGAAATTATTCACTTACAGTTTGTCAGTCACTGGATTGGGTATACAGTTTTAGAGTCAGTCTTTTTTTAGCAAAAAGACAATATTTTAGCTGTTGTTATTATCCTTGAATAGAGTATTAAGCAGCCGTAAAGATCTCTTTTTGATAAGTTCAAAAATTGCTTAGTAACAGTTTGCGAGTCACTTGGCTTGGCTATACAGTTTGAGAGCCACTCTCACTATATTCGAAAAGGGGTCGCCCTTTTCAGCTGTTTCTCAGCTGGTTTTCCAGCTGAGACTAGAGTTTGCCACATTGGGTTGATTTTCATAGAAATAATGCAAAAATAATTTGCACTCTTCTTGTTATTTATTTGTTTTTTGCACAGTTTGAGCGCCACTGTAAGCCAATGTCATTGCACACAAAGTTTGAGTTATATTTAATCAAGGTTTTCTTTGTTCGCACAAACACAGGTGGAGGCCATTTCACCCACTTTGCCCAGCGACAATGCTGAGGAGCGTGCTCGCAGCAGCGGCAGCGGCAACAACAACAACAACAACAACAATGCCAGCAGCAGCATCAGCATTAGCAGCAGCAGCAGCAGCAGCAACAACAACAGCAACAGCAGCAACATCGCCAAGGAGGAGCTATTGATGCAGATTCAACGTGTTGACAATGAGATCAAGTGCGCCGAAACGGCAATGGAAGCGTTGCGCAGAAAGGAGAAGGCGCTGCTGGAGGAGGCGGCGGCAACAGCTGCCGCTATCAAGCAGCAACAGGCAGCCGCTGCGGAGAGCAGCACCAGCTTCAGCGGCGCCAGCTGCAGCAGCGCCAGCGGCACGAGCAGCAGCAACGGCAATGAGATTATGGAGCTGGCGTGGCGTACACAGATGCTGGCGCAGGGCATCTATGAGGCGAACCGGAGGACGGCCGCCGAACAACATTCCCAGGTTGAGGAGGCGGGCGGCGGCGAGGAACGTGCACGCCCCTGGCTGCCATTATATAACCAACCGCTGGATGTGGAGGCATTGACGCATCTAATCAAACGCCATCAGACGCTGATCAAGAATCCCTTGCTGACGCATATACGCAAATTGAAAGCGGAACGCTGGGAGCACAATCAGGGTCTGGTTGAGAAATATACCAAGGATCAGGCCGATTGGCAGCGACGCTGCGAACGGGCCGAGGGCAGTGCCAAGCGCAAGGCGCGCGAGACCAAGAATCGTGAATTCTTCGAGAAGGTGTTCACGGAGCTGCGCAAACAGCGCGAGGACAAGGAGCGCTTCAATCGTGTCGGCTCACGCATCAAATCCGAGGCAGATCTCGAGGAGATCATGGATGGCTTGCAGGAGCAGGCGCTGGAGGATAAAAAGATGCGCTCCTATGCCGTTATACCGCCGCTGATGCACGACGCCCGTCAACGCCGTTGCGCCTACCACAACGAGAACGGACGCATCGAGGATATGGTGGCCGTGCACGAGGAACGCAAGGCCCTCAATCTGTGGACAGCCGGCGAGAAGGAGACCTTCAAGGAGAAATATCTACAGCATCCGAAGAACTTTGGTGCCATTGCGGCCAGCCTGGACCGCAAATCGCCGCAGGATTGCGTACGCTATTACTACCTCAGCAAAAAGACGGAGAACTACAAGCAGCTGCTACGCAAATCCCGCCAGCGGACGCGCAGCAGCCGCAACCCGGCCAAGGCCCAGGCACAGCAGCCCCAATGCATTATCGATTCCCTCACAACTGGCGTCACGACTCGCCTCCAGCGCGAACAGCAACAGAAATCCGGCAATCGTTCCAGCGCCGTCGCTGAACGCGAACGTGCCGAACGCGCCGCCGAACGGGAGCGTGTCGCCGAAAAGGCCGCCGCCGATGCGGCCAAGGCGGCCGAATGTGCAGCCGAGAAGGCGAGCGCCGTCAGCAAAGCCGCCGAGGCGGCTGCCGGTAGCGAGAAGGTGGCCAAGAGTGCAGCTGCAGCAGCAGCAGCAGCAGCCGCCGCGGCAGCAGCTGATAAGTCGGAGGCTGCAAAGGCGACGCATGCAGCAGCAGAGAAGCATGCAACAGCAGCTGCAGCAGCCGCAGCAGCGGCCGCAGCTAAAACGGAGATCTCAACGGGCAGCAGCAGCAGCAGCGATGCCAAAGCCAAAACCGCTGAGGAGCAAGCGGTTGCATCCACGTCATCCGCTGCAACTGCAACAGCTGCAGCGGCAGCGGCAGCGGCAACAGCTGCTGCCAACGATGCAGCCACCGGCTCAGCGGCAGCGCCCAAGGCGTCCAAGTTGCAGCCAGGCGAGGCAAAAGCCGCCGCAGCAGCAGCAGCAGCAGCAGCCGCTGCAGAAGCAGCCAAGTCCGAGCGGGAGCAGCCAACGGACGCGGATGAGCATCGGGCCGCCAAGAGCAAAGCAAAGGCCGCCGATAGCTATAATGGTAAGCAATCGATAACTTAACGTTGGCTAGTTGGCATGCACAAATGTGTATCGAAATCGATTTGTATCAATTTGTTATCGATAATTATGCGAAAGTTGCGATGGGCTTAATTTATGCGATAACAATTGCAATCATTGAGTTATAACAGCCCGCGCGCAAGTTATCGACAACAATTGTAATCGATTAGCTATAACAAGCAAGTTATCGATAACAACTGCAAACGATTGAGTGCAAGTTAAACACGCAAACATATATTAATAACAATTCTGTATTTAGCAATAACATTTGAGCACAAATTCTAATTACTTTGCATTATTTTTGCAGCAACTGGTGCAGCCGGAACTAGTGTCACGCCCTCAGCTACGCCCGCGGTCAGCGTGGCGCTCAACGGCTTCAAGCCCGGCTACCAGAGCGTCGTCATGGCCAATGTCAAGGCGCCAGCGCCAACAGCTGGCCTTGATGATGCCGCAACCGGAACTGCAGCAACAACGTCGACAAATGCAACGGGCGATAAAATCGTCAAGGCCTCATCGACAGCAGCTGCAGCTGCGGCTGGCTTCGCTGTGCCCAATGCGGCTGTATCGGAGCCGGTGAGCAATGCAACGCTAACGACGGCAACCACGGCTGGCAACTATTTGGGCCAGAAGCTGAAGGCGGCACAAGTCGAGGGACTCGGTGCCGGCAATGATCTGCACTCGGATGTTAGGTAAGTTATCAATGAAAATATCGTTTAGAACTTATCAATAGGAGCGTTCGATAAGCTGTAATCGTAAAATGGGGAGTTATCGATACAAAAGTGGTAAAGAAATTGGCAATTATCATACAATGGACAGTTATCGATTAAACAGTTCTTGATTAATCGATTATCGATACAATTAATTATCGATATGAAATTATCCGTAGGAGAGCTATGTATCGATAAGAGAATTATGGATATGAGTTATTGGTAACAATGCAATCGATATAAAACTGATCCACAATTTATTTATCGTTATAACCTATTTATCGATTAAACAAAATTCAATAGAAAAGTATCGATAAAATATGTATTTCGCAGTTGTCTAATTTGTGTGTATCTTTTTACAGCGAGCCCAAGAAGAAACGCTACGAGCTGACGCCTGGCGAGGCAAACAACGCCAGCAGCAACAACAACAACAACAATAGCAACAACAACAACAGCAGCAACAACAACATCAAAGTGACCACCACCAAGGATGCATCGAATCAAGTCTCGTTCATTGATAAGGCCACCGGCTCCATGCTGACACCCGCGTCATCCATATCGTTGCTCTACAACAGCGCCATGTCCACAACGGCCGCGGTGGCTGCGATGGCAACCGGCGCAGGAGCAGGCACAAGGCCAACGACGGCATTGACTCCGACCATGGTGACAGATCGGGCTGGCAATTTGCTGAGCACATCCGAGGTTCTGGCATTGGATGGCAAAGGTAAGTGCTGCAAGTTTATTTTTATATTCTATTCTTCTCTATAACATCCAAGCCTTGAACTTGTTAAAAGCTTTGTAAGCTTCAGAAATTCTCCACGCCCAGCAAGTCCTCTCGCGCTCTCTCTCTCTCTCTCCCTCTGCAGGGAATTTCTGCTTAAAGCTCTTATGCTTTGCACGTTGAGCTGCGCAAACTCTGGCTAGTTTCTCACATTTCATAAAAGCTCTTTTGCAAAAGCTTTGCAATCTAAGCAGTTAAACTCCCCTATTCCCAGCAAGCTGTCTCTGCGAGGACTTGGCGGCGCCTTTGTGCCTTGCTCTTCTACCTCAAAACCAGGCGCAACTTTGCCCTTAGCAGCTTTTTGGGCAATGACTTTTGTCAATCTTTTGAAAAGCTTTTGTTGGCCTTCTAGCTTTGAGGCTCTGCTCTGTTCCAGCTTGAGCTTTGAACGTGCGTCATTTTAAGCTCGAAGCTAACTTTTGCTATTTTTAGCAAAGCCTTTAAGCTCGCACAAGAGCTTTTACCTGCCTTTGCAAAGCTTTTGACAAAATTTTCAGAGCTTTTAACGTTCAACTGCTTTTGGAAGAACTCACGTGTCCTTTGTGCTTATCAAAAATGCATTTGCGCCTTCACAATTGCAGTTTTTCGCTTTGTGTGGCATCTGTTTATTAAGTGTTCGTCCCTTCTACCCAACAACCCCTACCCCCACCCCTGATACTCTTTATCCCCACGCCCCTCACTATTTGACGTCCGACCCCCCCCCTGACTCTGTTCACCATGCATATTTGATGCTCCGCATTTGCCTCAAGCCATGCTTGGGCTTGGAATGTGCACAGCCTTTGCTGCCTTGGCTGTGTGTCTGCCACATTGGATGCTTGATTGAGTGCGTGGCACGTTTTCGCGTGCACCGTGTGGGTCGTTCTGGTTGTGCAGCCTCTGTCACATCTCGTTTCCGTACGTTTGTCCATTTGTCGTCTGTCATTCTTGTCTGTCATTCAGCTCAGCTCAGCTTGTGCTGCAGTGCGCATTGTTTGCATCTCCAGTCCTCTCTCTCTCTCTCTCTCTCTCTCGCTCTCGCTCGCTCTCTTTCACTTTCTCTCCCCCTTCAGCCATCTCCGGCCACCGTTCGGCTGTCATCTCCCTGGCGAGTTAATTAAACGCAATTAAATTAAAATTTTTGTAAACGTCTTTTTTATTATGCAAGTGATTTAATTTAATTATTAAATTGCCGCAACGTTTGTTTGCATTAACCGTCGCCATCTTTTGCCACAAACGAGAGCAAGCTCTGGGGCGCTGAAAAGCGGGGGGGCGGGGAAGATGACTGTATACCCCCCTGCCCTTCCTCCCACCTGTCTGCCCTCCCACCTTTGGGCGAACCAATTTTCTGATTAATCCTGGTTTACTCGCGGGACTTAAGGGTTCTTTGCAACAATCGATAAGCTTTATCGATAACTGTTATCGATAGGCATTGTTAAGCTGCGATTGGCTGTTATCTAGCGTTTTGCGATAGCAAACACATTTCCCAAAAATCAATTGTTGCGTTTGTCCTTACCATCGATAGCAATCTATAATCGATTTGTAATAATTTATCGATAATAGCCGTTATTAAAATTAGAGAGCTTACATCCTCATTTAATGTCTTGTAGTTTGAGCAATTAAACATAAATTTCTGTACAGACGAATATCGATAGCACACATAACGACAACAGTGTTGAATTACGTCAATGTTTTTAAGCAACATTTGAGCAGCGCGACCGATAAACTTTTGTTTTCACAACTAACAATTTCTTATATTATTTATCGATAGTTGTTATCGATTCAACAATGAGGAAAGCTGCTTTATTTTGTGCGTTAATTTTGATTATCTGAAATTGATCACAAAAATTGGGCGATTGAACATTTATCGATAACAATGTTGAATATAGTATCCCTTGCGTCTGTCATTAATCGATAAGAGCAATACTTAATTACAAATATGCATTTTGTTGACACTTTTGAAATTAATCGATGTCATTTATCGATAAAAAGTACAATACATTTAAAGTCGCATATTTCAGACACATTTTCAATTTAATCGATTCCATTTGTCGATAGACCCTTCAAAATTTATCGATAGCAACTATCGATAAACAAATATTTAGTTAAAATACGCATATTTTTGGCGCTCTTCTATTCATCTAACCTATTTTTCGACGAAATAAGATTCAATCAAAATACGTATAAGCTAGACACTTTTCAAATAATCGATGCCAATTATCGATGGAACAATATTCCATTCAAATAGGCCATATTCTTGGCACCTTTAAGTTTATCGATGCCATTTCTCGATACAAAATTAGATTCACATGTTGTTGCTTTGTTTTTGCTTTTACAATTAACTTTTATTTATGCAAACTTTAGAGCGATTCACAAAAAAAAAAAGGTTGTGCTTTGGTATGTGTGAGTGTGCGTGCATTTAATTGCGTGCTTAATTCGATAATTAATCGATTAGTTGTTTTGTTTTGTTTTGCCTTGTTGCATTAGTTTAGGGCGCTGCCTCCAAGGCATCCGTTGCAGTTGTTGCCTCACGTTTTGCGGCGCTGCTGTTGCTGCTGCCGCCGCTGCTGCTGCTAGTCGAGCTGTTGTTGTTGTTGTTGTTGTTGTTGTTGCTGTTGCTGCTGTTGTCCAGCTCATCGGCATGACAGAGCTTGCGATGCTTGTGCACAAAATAGTAGCTGGGAAACTTGCTGCCGCACGTCTTGCACGGATAATATTGCACGTTCATGTCCAGCGGACGCACCTCGCGTCGCAGCAAGGCTGCTGCCGACAATGTGGCATCTGCGCCCGCAGCAACTGTTGCCGCTGCAGCTGCTGTTGTTGCTGCTGCTGCTGCTGCTGCTGTTGTTGCTGCTGCTGCTGCTGCTGTTGTTGCAGCTGTTGTTGTTGTTTGGCCCAGCAATTCGCGGCTGCTGCTGCTGAGCTCCGTCGTTGTCGCCGCCAACTTCTTGTCCAAGCTGAGCGGATTGAGATGCCGCTTGGCGTGCTTCTGATAGCAATATTGCGATTTGAACGTATGTTTGCAGTAAACGCATACGAATAGCTCCGCATGCGTTTGCTTGCGATGTGTTGCTGGTGTTGCAGATGTTGCTGCTGCTGCTCCAGTTGTTGCTGCTGCTGTTGCAGTTGTTGCTGCTGCTGCTGCTGCTGCCACATCGCCGCTGTTCTCGTTCGCCTCCTGCTGCTGCTGCCGCTGCTGGCTGCTGATGGCCCGCGCCATTTGTTGGTGAAACGAATAGCTGACGCTCTGTTGTGTGCGCTGCTCGCCGCCGCCGCCAGCTGCCTCAAGGCAGCTGTTGTCCGGCTTATGGCCGTACGCCGTGTTGAGTATGCGGCGAAAGCGCACGGGTCCATCGCAGCTGGCCACATCGATGATGAATTTGGTGGCCGGTGTTGCCGTCTCCAGTTGCACGCTCGGCAGCGGCGTCTTGGCCAGCTGCTGTCCACGATTGTTGCCGCTGCCGCTGTTGCTGCTGTTGTTGTTGTTGTTGTTGTTGCTGCTGTTGTTGTTGCTGTTGTTGTTGCTGCTGCCGCGTTTGGTTGAGCTTTTGCGTGCGCTGTTGCCGCCGCGTCGCAGCTTGTTGGCAACAGTTGCTGCTGCTGCTGCTGCTGGTGGCGCTGGCGGCGGCGGCGGCGGCGTTGCTTGCTTTTTGCTTTCCACACGCTCAATGTTCAGGCTGCTGGCGGCGCTGCTGCTCGCCAGGCTGCTTACGACGGACACATTACAATCCTCCGTGTCCAGTTCATTGTCGCTGGCCGTATTGCTATCGATAAACACCTCCACATCCTCCTCCTCCTCCGCCTCTGTCTCCTCTATCTTCTTCTGCTTCTCCAGCTGCTGCTGCTGCTGTTCCGACTCTGTCAATTGCAACTGTTCAGCTGCTGCCACAGGCTGTTGCATGTAGGCTGCAGCAGCAATTGTTGGCGGCGGCGGCGGCGGCGCTGGCAGAAAGCCAAAATTGGGCAATGTCGCTTTGCTTGGTATGGGTCTGATGATCTTGGAGGCGGCGCCACTGGCCGCCAGCTGTAGCTGGTGCGGATTGGCTGGATTGCCGCTCAGATAGCCTTCGGTTTGGGCGCGCGCCAAAAATGCGCTGCGAGTAAACATGTGAAAATCAAATAATTCAACTTGCAACACACACAATAACAAACAAACAAAAAAAAATAAGAAACAACTGCTGCCTACCGACAAATCTCCAGGGCGCGCGGCATATGCAGCACATGCGTCGCCAGCAACACGGCAAATATGTTGTCCACATTCAGATCCAAGTAGCCGGTGTACATGTATGTCAAAAGCGGCGCAAACTGTTCCGCTGTCACATTGCCCAGATACAGCAGCAATTCACCGCCAGCAGCAGCAGCAGCAGCAGCCGCGGCAGCAGCAGCAGCAACAGTTGCACTTGCTGTTGGTGTTGCTGCTGCTGCTGCAGCTGCGGCTGCAACTGTTGCCTCATCCATGCGTATGGCCGAGCGCAAATAGCCGCTGTGCATGCCCAGCACCAGAGCGTGTGCCACAAAGCGTACGCTGCTCGGCGCTGGACCCACCTCGAGTATAACATCCGGCGGCGTGGACATGACGCCGCCAACGCCAAGCGGCATGTTGCTGCAGCTTGTGGCAGCGGCATTCGACAGGCGGCTATTGACGTTGCCGTTGCCGTTGCTGCCGCTGCCGCTGCTGCCAGTTAGCCAATTGGTAAACATTTCCAAAAAAAAAAAAAAATATACAAGACAACAAACAACGCGAAGACGCGACTCGCGAGTCGTGTAGCAAGTGGCGGCTGCTGAGGAAGAGCAGCTGCTGCCAACCGTCACGTGTGCAACTCAAATTCGAACTGATGACCGCCTCGTGGCGCCTGCCGCGTTTTATAGCCAACACACAGCGCACGAGACAGCAGCCAGTCACACACACACACACACACACACACACACACACACACACGCACACCAAGAGTCCTGTCAGCTGTGTGAGTCCTTCGGCTGCTGCTGTTGCTGTTGGCTCGGCTCTGCCTCTCAGCTTCGGCTGTTGTCGAGATTATGCTGCCAGCTTTTTGTTTGTTGTCGGTTTGGTCTGTTTAATTGGTTCTTGCTGTTGCTGTTGTTGTTGTTGCTGTTGCTGTTGCTGTTGCAGCATATTTTGCACATTTTAAGCCAAATTAACACGCGACTTCACAAAAAGTGCTGCCTACTTTTTTGCGCTTGAAATTCAAATTAATAAATATATTTCAATATTAAGAATATATTTATATTAAACATTAAAAATATATAAAAAGTGTGTTGCCAAAAAAATTATATCAATTCATAATTATATCCATTTTTTTTTTGTTTTCAATTTAACTTTTATTAAGCGAATAACTTTAATTGTACTTGTATAAATTTTTACACTTTTTCAAGTAATTCCAAAAAAAAACCGAATTATATCACTTTCGCCATAAATTCGCCAGTTGTAGTTTTTCGAAAAGTGTTGCCTACTTTCAGGCGAACTAGTTAGAGAGAACTTAGAACTTCTTTTGCGCAGCTTTACAAATATTTGAAATATAATAAAAATAACTATTAATTGAATTAGAAAACAGTTAAATAATAAAAACTCTTTCGCCAACAAATCGCCAACTTAATTGAGCAGTTAGAGTAAACGCTTGAGTTTGAACTTTTAAATCTTCATTTATTTTGTTTCTTTTTTTGCCTTATATATATTTCTTTTTATATTTGGACTCTTGTCGTTTGGCAATTTCTTCAATTTTCCAATGTAATTAGTTTGTGTCGAAAAAAGGGAAAACACAGTTTGTGAAAATTTGTAAACCGACCGCGACTTTTACTTTGAGTTCAGCTTCCGTCGGCAGTGTTGCCAATTTTTGGTAGCTGCTCCAAAATCCGTTTGCCTTTTGGCTTTGCGTCAATTCACCATCAAACCCCCCTTCCCCCCCTCCCCCCTCCTGCCGCCCTCCTGCAGCTACCCTGCCCTCGGTCCTTTCGCTGCCCTTGTCCATGTGCATGGCTCAAAAAGCGGCGCCTCAATCGACTTAATTGATTTGTGGGCATAACCAACACATATTTACATACGATTCGGCCACAAGTGTGTGTGTGTGTGTGTTGATTTTGTGTGTGTGTGTGTGGCTACTTTATCTACCTGTGTGTGTTAGTAGCTATTAGCTCACTATTTCAAGCTACTCTCACGGAGAAATAAAGTCCTTTGCCTGCGATAAAAATTCTTTTTCATAAATTTAACATATATAAATTTATAGCAAATTATATATTTTTAAAATTTTCCTTTCCGCTTGTGTTTCCATGCGAATTGAACTAGTTCACAGTTCACAGCCTGAGCAAAAGTTTTGGCTTTTGCGGATTCGAGTCCACGACCAATTGATTGGTCCAAAAATATATTGTAGGTTAGGTTAAGAGCTTGCAACTTTTTACTATATTTATGACAAGAAACAGCTTCTCTCTATCGCCAAACTATCGCCAAGCTATCTGCCTGGCTGATAATGCTGTTTTTGCCTCAGTAAAGGGCATACGCTAGTCGCTTGAACTTTATTGGTTCATTGTCGCTTCTTCTACTAATTTGCCCAACATTTTCCTTTGCACTTTTTTCTACTACTTTTTTTTTCTTTTTGTGGCAAAGTGCGACGTGTGTGTGCGTGTGTGTGTGTGTGTGTGTGTGTGCTTGGCTTGGTTTTATTTGTGTGGCTTTGGTATTTGGACATTTGGTTGGCTTTTAATTACCGCTGTTGCTATCTCTGCCCCTGCCCCTCTGCCCGCTGCTCCCTCTCCTGCTGCTGATCGGTTTTATTTGTTGAATCTCACCCCAACCCCGCCCCCCCCCCCCTCGCCCTTCCGTTCCACCTCAAAACCTGCAGCCTTTACTTTTATTTGCCGTGCGACAAATTTGTCAAAAAAAAAAAAAAAATGTTTGACATTTGCTTGCTGCGCAAGTTGGGGCGGGGTTTGTTGAAGGGATGCGGGGGTTAGGGGCTGGCGACACGGCCAAAAGGGAGATGCATTTTTATAGATATGGTCAATCGGTTAGTTTGCCGACCTGTTTGTTCTCGTTGTTGTTGTATTGATAGGCTAATTAAATTAAGTTGTTGTTGCTGTTGCAAGCTGAATCTGTCCGTTGCGATTAAGCTTCAATCAAGCGTTAACAATTTTAATTAAATTATTTCGAAATGTAATTATAAATGTTCGTCATGCATAAATTGTGTTATTCATTTATTTACCAATAACTGGACACGCCCACCCCAGCCCCAGCCCCAGCCTCAGCTTCAGCTTCAGCCCATGCTGCCGTCATCAACCCTTTTTTTTGTTGTTTTTTTTTTTTTCTTGCTTCCTTTTTTTTCGACCACTTTTCCAGCTGCTGCTGTCGATTGTTTCTGCATTTTGAATAAATAATCACAACGTAGGCAAAAAATGAATTTCATAAATTGCCAGCAAACAGGAGAAACAAAAGCAGGCAACAATTTGCCGCTGATTGACTGCCAGATACCCTGTAACGAGCTGTTGCCAAACAAAAAAATAATCAAATATTTATGCACCAACAAGAATTGCATACTTCCCGTGCTGCTCCTTACACATTACTTCTGCTTCTAGTGCTTCTTCTTCTCCCCCTATATAATCACTTTTTGGGAAATGTGTTCTCGTTTAACTTGGCTATTTTCCGTCCGATCTTTATGAAACTTTCAGCGCTCGAATATAGCACATACAAGTGTGTGCATACCAAAGCCCGAGCATAGAGCTGCATTATTCTTCGAGTTCAAGTTGCCAGAATGTTGAATATGCCAAAAAAAAAAAAACGGTTGGCATTTTTCTTCAAAACTCGTAGATATGGCTAAATCAGAATAAAAACCAGCTATAAAAATCGATATTTATCGATATATTGCGGCAACGAAAAACTTTGTTTGAAGTTAATTTAAGCCTCAAGCTCTTATGGTAACTGAGCTACGAGTTGGCTTTATCAACTCGCCTTTTGCTGCTGGCCAAGAATATATACATATATGCTTAATGTGCTCGTTAAAGCCTTCTTTTGCCTGCTATGTGCTGTCTCTATTTTATTTTTATTTTAACCATTTTCCATGGGTTCAGCGTATAAAACAAAAAAAAAAAAAAACAAGTTAATCACATACATGCATTTGCCTGTCAGGACTTGGTTGCTCATGTCCTGCTGCTGCTCCTGCTGCTCCTGCTGCTGCTGCTGGTGATGCTGCTCTTGTTGTTGTCGTCATCGTCAATCTGTCACATTTGTTAAATGCTACAATTAATCCCCCAAGCGCGTCTGCCCAGCTCTTTTGCTGCGCAACTGTTGTATTATCCTGCGTGCCGTGTCCTGCTCATTTTGCCCTCTAATAATAATTCACCTTTCAGCTTCACGTATATACATATTTGATGTGACTTGACATGGCATATTTACCTTAAAATCTATAACGTTCTTCAAATAACGGTTATCGATAAGTTATCGATAAGTTATCGATAGGTTGTCAAATATGCCTCTGATTATCAAAGGGTTCAGCTCATTGAACCACAATCTTAATGCTCAAAGATGCCACATTTAAACGATTTTTGCAACGTTCGATTACACAACTTATCGCTTGCTTGATTTATCGATTTCAGTACTGTATCAATTAATTTATTTATTATTTGGTATATTGAAAACTTAACGGGCTCACCACAAATTTCAGCCAGGCTTTGTAGGTTTTTTCACACTAGTTTGCTTAGTTTTCGATTTATTCGTTGTGCTCGATATTTATCGATTTATCATCAGGCGGCGCCAGCCATACCTGTTTTATAAGTTTTCAATTTTATCTATAAAATGTTTTAAATTTGTATTGATGATAATCGATATTTTAGCTATAGATTTAGTACAATTACTTTTGAAATTTTTAAATTTATATCGATAAATATCGATTTGTTAACTATCGATTTAGGCCCATCTATGCAGCCACTCAATTGTTCTCGTACTATTTACCAGCTGTTTGTCTACACTTGCTCCACGGTGCGACAGTGGAATGAAAAGGACAACAACAGCAACAGCAAGAAGTAGAAGAAGAGCTACTGCTGCAGTAGCAGCCATCAACTGCTGCTGCAATTCAATTCAATTAACGCGACGGTTAAAAGCTCTGCGCAATTAGCTTTTCTCTCGTTAGCCTCCTCTCGCTTCCGCTGTGCTCCCCCCATTTTCCAGAGTCTGACAAAGGGGTCGGAGTGTTGTCTGTGGCCAGGGGTCAGGGGGCGGGCTTTAAAACATTTTTGCTGATCTTTGCAGTAAGCTAGCAAATTGCCTGCCAACCAATCGAGCGACTGCAACCGACGCACACACACGCACGCACGCACACATGCATACGGCCTGTCAACTGTTGGCTTTTGTCTTACACACACACACACACACACACACACACACACACATGCACACACACATGCGCACACACATTGACCGTAAAACTGCTGCTGAGCCTTTTGGTCATGTTGACAAGCAAACCGCCCGCTCGCTACCTGCTGCTGCCTATCCCCTCCTCTTCGCCCTCTTCACCAGCATTTCTCTCTCGTCTCTCGCCCCCCTACAAATCCAACTACGCCCCTGCCCTTGTGCAATTTTCGCTTCTGTTGTCGCTTTTAGCTGTAGCTTATCCCAGTTGGATTTTATTGTTTGTACACAGTTGCCAAGTGGCCGTAGGCGGGAATGAGCATGTGGTGGGCGAGTGGTGGGGGCGGTGGGTGAAGAGGGGGGTGCAGGGGGATTAAGATAGGCAGCAGGTAGCCGAAGCGGTTTGTTAAGCAGAGACACACGGCAGCTCATACGCACGTGTTGCCACTTGTCCATTGCCATTTGC